GAATATATGTATCACGTTTTTCTGTAATGTTTCTTATTCTTCCAGGCTTAGTTTTAAGCACTGTCCATTGACTTCAGTGAAAGACGAACGCCTGGTCCTTGCTTTTCCAAACATCTCTGTATTTCTTCTCCATAGACCAGTGATATCACAGCTTTGCTTAATTCAGTGTCTACATGATTAGAACTGTGGACAATCTGTTCACAATGAGGCCACATAAAACAGGGCATGTATGCTTTCTTCCCCAAATAATGTTTTGTTAAAATTAATAACAATTTACACACACACGCACACACACACACACACACACACACACACACACACACACACACACACATATATATATATATCCCCATATATGGATATACTTCTTCAGTGAATAAATCCAGGTATCAGAATAAAGTTGCCTTTATTATAGCGTCTTGGACTTCTTAATTTTGTTACGGAAATGAACTGTTGTGGGAGATAGTCTAACTCATACTGATTTAGGTAGAATGCACATTGATTTTAAGGAACAGTGTTTTAGAAGACCCCTCGATTTCCAGCCAACCATATAAACCATATTTACGTATGTAACTACTTGTATTTTGCTAAACTACTCCTAATTTCAAGCACTGAAAACATATTTAACAAAAGGAAGAGAGTACCCAAGCATCTTGGAAAGTTTCCGAATGAAGCTCATGTCATTTGACTAACAGCTCAAGTTACTTTTCACGGCATTATCTCAACGCAAAGCACACCGAAGGCGCTCTGCTTTCCAAGGCTTTTCTCTTTGGCCCTGAGGCTGCTCGGGGAGATATCTGTTTTAAATTTTTGTCCTCCCTTCTATCAGAGTCCTCCATGGACATAATTTAAAAGAGTTAATTCATTGCTAAAAGCCTTATGAAATATAGAAGTCCTTCACCCCTGCCATTGGCCACTCCCAAAGGCAGCTGCTATTAATTGTGCCTCCCCAGATTCCTCTTGTCATTTACCTACATGTCCCTAAATCACATTTTTATGTAATGTTTCTCATTCTTCCAGGCTTAGTTTTAAGCACTGTCCATTGACTTCAGTGAAAGACGAACGCCTGGTCCTTGCTTTTCCAAACATCTCTGTATTTCTTCTCCGTAGACCAGGGGTATCACAGCTTTGCTTAATTCAGTGTCTACATGATTAGAACTGTGGACAATCTGTTCACAATGAGGCCACATAAAACAGGGCATGTATGCTTTCTTTCCCAAATAATGTTTTGTTAAAATGAATAACAATTTCTTATCGTAATCTTGTATGACCAAACTCATTTTTGTTCATATATTGAAATACATTTGGACAATTCCATTCACTTTTAAGATGTTTCAGATTGTTCTAGAAACTCCTCCTGTCCAGGTCTGTTGATGCTATTGCTATCATGGGAGGATCTTGTATCATTGTGGCATTTCATGTACCTGCTCTTATTTTAAATACCCTTTTCTGGATTTCACCTCCATGCTTGATGTTTATTCTCTCATTTCACATTATGCTGTCATGATAATTATAAAGCACATAAGAGATTTTTGTTTTAGTGGATATGTCCGGAAATGTCTTTCCAAATGCTCACATACTGATTTTGAACGTTGAAGAGTTACAACCCGGAAATGATCTTTTTGTCAGAAGCTTTCCACTGTCTTTCAGCTTAGCATGTTGTGCTCATTTATTTGATTGAGTTTTGGAACTCTTTAGGAGAGGTGTGTAGATTTGAACTTCCTGTGTGATTGTATTGTACCTGGTGTCCCATGGTGTAAGTCTATTTTAGTATCTCTGTGACGTCATCTTCTAGTAGAGATGGGGTAGTCACCCAGTTGCATGGCATTTTGGGAGGGAATAGTAAAGAGGCCCAGTGTTTCCTTAAATGGCTTTTCAACAGATCTTCTTCCTTTTGAGAACCAGTCACTCACAGAAGTGTTTTGAGTTGCCAGTAGTCAATAGGAATCTAATTGTTCTGAAATTTTCTTTTCCCCCACTTCAGCCTTTTCAGAAGCACTAATAGATTTACTTCTCTCCTCTCCTCTCCTCTCCTCTCCTCTCCTCTCCTCTCCTCTCCTCTCTGCAGTTCCCTAACTATGCTCAATGCTGTCTCATTCCATGCTTTGTTTTCTCTGGGATGATACCTTCGTTATTGTTCCAGTGACATTTTAAAAGAGAGAGAACAGACAGACAGGCAGGGCATGTGCTTGATCTGTTTACATTAGGGCAGAATCTCGATGAAGGAGACATCAGGGAGCCAGACGGTTTCTGTAAATAATTGCCTCTTTAGTAAACTCGTGGATTTGCTGTTGCTTATCTACACATACAAAGGAGTGAACTAACCTTTCAAAGGGATTGGCAGTGAATGCCCCCTGTTTTTACTGTGGGATACATTTACCCACAGCTCATCAAGGATTTAACTATATCTGGGCTTCATCCTTGCCGTTTTCCACTCCTCAATAACAGGATGCCACACCATTCCTTTCCTTGTCAGAAATTTTCAGTGGACGAAGGCTTGTCACTGATGACATGCTGCCACATCATGGCCGGCCCCAAGGAGTTTTAAATAACACGATTTGAATGTATACCCAGAGTTGACTTCCCTACCCTCCACACCATCCTGCTGTAGATATTTTGAGAAAAAGTTTCTGTTGTATTCTCTCCAGACAGATATTTTGTGACAGATTTTAGCAAGTAGTCTTTGGAATAACATTCTGCTGTGGGGACGGCACTCAGTGATCTCTTAGGGATGAACAGTTCTTGACACGGTCCTCCTCTACTCATAACGACATAATGACAACAAGTGTTATGCTGGCCGTGTGCCAGGAGGTGAGCCTAGTTATTTTACACATAATATGTGTCCTAAGAGAGTCTATTATGTGATTAATAACACCATTTATGGAGTGGTTAGAAAGGAAAGCACAACTATGTTGTATCCTGAGTACCCTACTGGTAAGCAATTCACATTTTATGAAATAGGAAAATGAATCTTGCTGGTTTGTGGAAGACCATGAAGCTATTAGTTAAATTAGTTAGAACCCGCAGCCAGGTCTATTAGGTCAAGGCCCATGCTTTTTTTATTGCTACAGCATTTTCAAAAAAGATAACCATACAGCTACATGTGTGACTCATGTTCTATTATCTGAACATATTAACTAGATGTTTTTTAAACATTACAGCATTTTGAGGGTAACACTGGTATAACACAAATTTTAGTTTGGTTAGAATAGAGGGCTTTAACTATTTTAAGGAACCTTGCATTGCATAGTTTTTACAAAATAACCAAAATAGTAATGAAAATAGTTGTACATGAGTTTCCCTATAAAAGTCTGCAATTTCTTTTCTTTTTCTTTTAAATTTCTTAAAACTTTTAGTTGCTAGCAGCCCATGAATATAGGAAGGGGCACAGTGTCTCCTCTCTTTAACTACGGAAATAGTCTTAAACATTTCCAGGCACCCTGGATTATCTGAGTGTAGTCTAAAAAAACAAACATACATAAAACAGAGAGTCAGTATTTAAAGTACAAATGTGTAGACGGAAATCAAGGAAGTCAGATGTTAACAAGAAACTCAAGGCTGAATTAGGTGGAGGAAACCTAAGGAAATGCTGAAATTGGCCTTTTGAGTTCACAAACTAAACTGGTCATTATTTGCATTGACATTTATTGAGTACCTGCTGCGTGACAGGTACTGCTTAGGCACTGGGGATAAAATGATGTTTAAGAATAAGATCCTGCCAGCTGGAATTGATGGCCCAGCTACTGAATGACGCCATGATTTGTGGAGAAGGCAACCAACTGGTTCAAGAGCTCTAGGGCCTAAAATACAGAAGACAAGAAAACACAAATATACAGAGCAAAGGAGAAGAATCCAACGGTCAGGAGCAAAAGATAAAGTGCTGGAAGAAACTGTGTTCCATTGAGGACACAGCTGTGCTGGAAGAAAGAGAAGAGCAGTTGGTATTGCGTTGGGTTTCACAAAGTAGCATTGTCACCTTGTCAGACAAACCACATGCACTGGGAAGTTAGTGAGAGAGCCATGCCAAGTGAGTGAGACATTGTATAAATGCTCCTCTGCAGTGTGAAATGTCGCATGGTCATTCACTTTATTTTGTAGCAGAGCCTGGGCTGTTGCCTTATTCCTTAGCTAGCTTCATTCTGTTGACGATAAAGATTCTCCTTATGCATCAGAGTGCTTCAAACTCAGCTCCTCAGTTAAAACAGTGGTTGGTTGTCTGCGCAATGACTGGTAGGAGACTGTCTTTGTCAAGGACTCAGATCTCACCAAAAGGAAAAGCAAAGGATAGGTACAGTTGACTTGTATTTTTGGCACGGACAGGCAGAGGGTTCTCAGAGTTAGGTGACTGAATGTTTCATGTTCAAATAATAGGAGCAGAGCAGGAATAACAGACAGGAACGTGTAGCATCCTTTGTAAAATTGTTTACTTGAATTAAATTATACATTTAATATTCTTCAAGAAAGCTTGAAAATATAATAAGGAGTATTTTCAACTTCAAGAGCAGATAAGTCAAGTCTTCTTGAATGTTAATGGGATAAAGGCAGAGTATTTTTTTCCATGTGGGATAACTTATATTAGATGAAACCACTGTAATTTTCCAGAGTTAAAAGAATGGCCAAGTCATATGGAATTTACTCTGCCCTGTGGTCAGCAATCAGTTTTGACTCTTGGGATGAAAGCCTATTTTTGAAGTATATACGTTTTGTGTGCATGTCTGTTGATGTTTTAGCAATGATGATGACAACTCACTATAATAGTCCTTTTAAGAAATTGGATGCAGGAGCTGGAGAGATGGCTTAGCTGGTAAGAGCACTGTCTTTGAAGAGGGCCAGGGATTCAGTTCCCTGCAACTCCAGTTCCAGGGAGATTGACACACTCTTCAAACAGGCAGGACAGTCACCTGTATACAACCAGGCACATAACACACACACACACACACACACACACACACACACACACACACACACAAATATAAAGAAACTAGACATGATGGCATACCTGTTTTTATAGACTTGTCATTTAGTTCTATAGGCTTTGAAGTTTCTCATGTATTAGACATATTACATAAATCTGAGTAAGTGCCTATGACCAGGTCCTAAGTCCTTTCTCAGGACTCACCAGTGACTCTGAAAGGCAGGGAATGAGAATGATAAATCAGCTGTCATTTCAAAGGATATAAGCTCAGTCCAGAAATCTTCATGCTTATCACCGAGGCAGAGCCAGGATATTTTCTTTTCCCATTCAGCACACACAGGTACCACCCTGTCCATGTTTGCCCTTAGGAATATCTTGCTGTTTAAGTACTGGTTTGGCTGTTATTGTGGGTGGACATCAGTCTTCAGAGTTCAGGTTAGGGCTCTGTGGAGCAAAGCAATCCCACAGTGTAATTTTCTCTGGAATCTCACTACTTCCTAGCATCTTTTCTTATCAGAAGCAAGAACACTGGTTAATTGGAAAATTACTCCACATTTGATAGCTTTGTCACACAGTAGTGAATACGTTTTTTTCATATTGAGATAGTTCTTAAACATCGAAGAGTGCTCTGAGAGAAACTGACATGGAATACGTCGTTCACCAGATTTCTTCTAGCTGGTCTTTTAAGGCTGAAAGCCTTCGGTTCAGCACTAGAAAGAGCACTTAGCTATGAGATCTGGGTCTTGAAGCTGAGCATGTCTGTGTCTGTCTTAAATATGCTGGAAGTACAAGTGCCTGGTGAACTGGGAGACCCTTAGCAAATACCACTTTATCCTTTGAACCACTTCTTGTTCCTAAGCTGTGTTACTTAGAGATTATGCAGTTGTACTTTTTTGTTTTAATAAAAGAAAAAGGAAGGAAGCGAGTTGAAACTACTAGCAGTGATTTCTAGTTTTAAGTCATAAGGAATACTTCACAGAGATAGAAAACTCTAGCATTGTCTCCATTTTTGATTGCTCTTCTCTTTTTGACAAACTTTGAACCAAGGTTCTAAAACTGTCTTTGACAGGCGACAGTCTTGTGTCAGGCAACTCCTTTCTCTGTCTCCACCCCCATCCTAGTTTGGATGTCCTTTATGTAAATCTCATGACCTTGCTTTTTCTGTAGATAAAACAGCCGGAAATGTTTTCATAGTGTGCATCAGATCATGTCATCTGTTAATGGTTTCATCACATTTAGAATAAAATGCAAAGTTCTTTCCCCAGCCCATTGTACCTCAAAACATTGCCTGGCATCTGCTTCTACTGCATCTGTGCTCTGGTTATGCTAAGTTTTGATTAACTCACTCATGCACAAAGTGGCTTTATATTTAGCGCTTCCTCTTCCATGACTGCCTTCTCTAGAACGCCAGCAGTTTTACTTCCTCTTAAAGATCACTTTTATTAAGAGGTTCTTTCAAGATTACAGCCCATGCAAACTCTAGACACTATCGATTCATTTCGGTTGTTTTCGCTTATTATTTTGCATGATGAGAATTTATCAAGCACTAACTGTGTGATGAAGAAAACATTTAGGTGTCTGCTCTTCATAGAGCTTTGATTGGAAGCAAGGAGACAATCTGAGGTTATACCATCCAGTACCAACTCCTAATCCCATACTGCACAGGAAGTAGAAGACTCATGAGCTATCTCAGTTTTGTTCTATTCCTGCTGGAATCAGAGGAGAGAACTCCTGAGAAGCCCAGTCTTCTTTTGGTTTTTCACTGCTTACTTCAGTAAGGTTGCCTCCATCCATGGGGGATGGTAAGGAAGAACACACAGAACAGATGCTGAAAAGCTCTAGTCCATGAAATGTATCACGCACGTCCTCAAGTCACATGATCTACCCTTTACACTTACTTCCTGGTGTGTGAAACGGAATCATATTGTTTCAGAGGGTTCTTGATTAAATTAGGAACTTGAGAAGTAGGACATTATTCAAAAGCTACTCTCTTCCTAATAAGAGAATAATTTCCAGTTCCAGTCTCAGGTTCCTGACTTCTGAGGTTAAGAATAGTACAGAATATGTTTCTATATTTTTCAAATAAAGTGCATGTTTTCATCTGTTCCCCCCCCCTCCGAAATGTTAATTCATCATATTTCTCTGCTTTGGGGAGATACTTCTTTCTCTCTTTGTCTATCAATCCAGCTGGTCCAGTGTCTTTTGCTGCATTATTAGAAGGCATTGCTTCCCATTTGTTAACAAGGCTACCATAAAAACTCAGATCTACCTCAGACCCCCTCTCTGCTGTCTTCTAAACTTCTCAACTCACCCCTCAGCCCTTCTCTTTCAAAGTGATTATCATCCCGACATTATTTAACCCATCATGTCTTTGTCTTATGCAGAAACATTGAGAGACGCCACCTTATTACCTACATGATATGTGTAAAGCCCATTAGTAGGTCATCTGGTGCGCACCACGATCCAGCTTTAGTCTGCCTGCCGTTTCTCTTCTGGGTGTGTGCTTGTCTTCCTTGACAGCTTTGCTGTGCATCTGTTTGCATCATCTGCCTAACCTTCTCTAATCTCTTCGTCGCAGGTCTGCTTCCTGTTCAGGAATACTGACTCCTTTATTTGCATTTCTGTTTTTCAATACTGCATTCAGGTTTGTTACCTGTTTGCCTTTGCATGCCTCCCAAGAGCGATTCTCACAGTTAAAAACCCACTATTATCTCCATTTAGCGTGAGTAATCGATAGCTCATTCTAGGTTGTCCCTCTTGCAAATGTAAAGAAGCATCCCTCTCCTTGGCCAGAAGAAAGTGAAAATGTGCATCAGGTAAAACGCAGACCTTGCAGATCTTACTTAGGAACTAGGTGTAATTTTTTTTTTCAGAGAACTTGATTCAGCTTTATTACATTATACTATATAAGTTATTACTCATCTCAATAAAACTTACTGGTATTTGTAAAAGATTTGCCCTACCAGCTGATTAATGACAAAACACTGGCCCATTTAGGTGAGTCCTGATGGTTATCTGCAGCTGGCTGTAGGCTTGGGGAAACTTTATGTGCTTTCTGAAGAGGAGCCCTGCCTTCTTATCATAGATAAACACAACCTCTGGTAACATTTGCCTTAAGTAGTTTCGTGTTAACGTCCCGCTCTCTCTTTCTGCAGTACTTTGGAACTTTGCTCGTCATCTTCTGTGTAGAACTGGCTTGCGGTGTGTGGACATACGAGCAAGAGGTTATGGTGAGTTCCCAGAGGGACAGAATCAAAGTCTGGAACAACATCCAGGTTGACTTTTGAGTCAGGCTCTGGAGAGTGACTGTGGTACATGATTGGTACTTTGCATGACCACATTACACAACAAGGGTGAACATTCCTGATATTGCTGAAAAGGTCACACACACACACACACACACACACACACACACACACACACTTCCAAGTCATAATTTAAAATCCTTATCTTGTGATACTGTGATACATCTTTCATTCCTAAATGTGAATATCATGGACTGGGGATAGCCTAAGAGAATTACCCCCGCTTCTGAGTTAGTAATGGGGAGTTTAGTTTGTGCTGGCTGGAGATTGTTATAGTGTCCCCTTCTATCTCCATCTTTGCTGACCGCAGCTGAAAAAGGTGAGGAGGGAAACCCCAATCTCCTGTTTTCAACAAGCCGAACCACACTGAACTTTAAGAAGTGCATCTGAAGGCTTGCTATGTGCTCACCTTGGTGTAAAAGCTCACAGCTTGAGACCTGGCTGCTGAAAAACCAGAGTTCAGCAGTTTCTGTCTCATTTTGGCCACTGCAACCACTAAAGAAACCTTCATAGCTTCCTTAGAATGAAAAAAGAGCTTTCCGGGCCTTTTCCACCAGTTGCTTTGTCATTTGTCAATGCTCCTACCCCCACCCCTACCCCCACCCTATCCTGGCCCTTGCTTGTGCTGGCTCTTGCTTAGTTTGCTACATTCAGTGGTGAACTTAGTACAGTTGTTTCCAGTGTAGAATGGAAACAACTTCCTTTGCACGTCTGTGAATGCTGGCTGGTGTCATTGCCTTACAGAACCACTATGTTTCCTCAAAATGGTGCCTTTCAATGTTTTTTTTTTTTTTTGCCCTTGGGCCTTTTGGGGAGGCTCGCAAAGTAATTCTTAATCATGAGCCTTCCTCTGTTCCTGGCCAGATGTGCTCAGTTAGAACGGTGGGAAAAGATGGGGCCTGGGAACCTGAGGAGTTCCTGGTATATTGTAAACGTTTAAAAATTCAAGACCTCTTAAGAGAGGGTGATAATTTTGTATTTGTGTCAGAGATAAGCAGGGCATTAGGCACTTGTGTAATACAGTTGAAGTTATTTCTGTTGTCGGTACAGTTATTAAAGATTTTGTGGTGAATCTGTAGTGTTCTGAGACTGTGGCTACTGCAGAGTAATGGTGGCTCTGCCTACCACAGTTTACCTATGCTGGCTGCTGTGCTAGTGTTCATAGCTCTGTGAAGAAACTCTTAGTTCCAACTGGGAGGAGTTGAGGAGGAAGACAGAATCATCAGTGGGAAGGTGTTGAGTCAGGGAAGGTCCTCCATAGCTCAATATAAAATCAAGAATGTATGTGAAAAACGAAAACAAAAACAAAAAACAATAAAACAACTTTCTCTTAAACTGGAGTTGACTTGCTGTTTTTTTTTTAAGTTATATTTTCATGTTATACCTACAAACTTTATATGTTAGAAAATAATAAAAGGTAGTAAGGCCCAGATTTTTACTTTAATAGTAAGGAATTTATCCTGATTTTGGTTTTGAAAAATGGCCTACATCCCTGGCATGCAAGCAACAGAAGAATCAATCTTATAAATAACTCTTGTTTCTTTTAATCTCAGCTTTTGGTTGTATGCTGTTCAGTGATAAAAATATTTTAGAAAATGAGTGACTTTCTATGGATTCTTTTATTTATTTAAGTTAGAGACAAGATCTTACTTCATAGCCCAAGCTAGCCTAGAACTCAGTACGTGTAACGTGTCCTCAAATTCATGGCAGTCCTCCTGTCTCAAACATTAGAGTGCTGTGGTATTGTCATGAAGTTTCACATACCATTGGTTCCCTGGATTTTGTAGTTGGACTATGAAGCATATGCTTAACTGGTATATGTTAAATATTTGATAAAGCTGTGGGAAGCTTAGGATGAGTTAATTTAGCCTGCTGACAAGGTTGCTTTGATTCTGTGAAGCATACATAAGAGAGCAAAGGAATCTACCTTTGCTTGGTCCCTATTCTGGTTCCTTTGTCCTGTTCTCAGTGGCTTCAGCTCCTGGGGCACTACATGAATGACACTCACTGCCATTTCAGCCATGGGGCACACGTCATTGTTTTTCTTGTGTAAATCTTCCCCATTACATCACCAGGAGCAAAGAAGGAAGGACCGTTTAAAAAGTGAAATGTAGAAAGCAGCCTGGCAGAAACAAGAAAAGTTGCTAAGACTTTTATTGTTTCTGTACTAATAACAATGTAAAAGAAAAGTGTCATTAAAGTTTATTATCTGCCAAGTTTCGCAGACTCCAACCTTTACATAGAATGGGCTTTGTGCTCTAAGCTGGCTGGTTCATGCAAGCAAGCCCTCCACTGTGTGCTTTGCTTCCTGGCCAGAGCCCAGCATGTGGAGCCGGGACCTCAATGGGCCTCTGTTTTCTTGCCACATTTGGTTTCAGATTGATGGTGGCCACGGTGAAGAAACAGCCAGCGTTTGTTTTGGAAAGCAAAAATTTAGAAAAAAAATATTCTATTAACTGAGTCAAGAGGCTTGACATCTGTTTGTTCCCTCGTTCTTTTACTTGTTTCTACATACTCACCTTCTATCTAACACTCCAGTTAAAAAAAAATCTGTCTGTGATATTAACGATTTCAGATGATATATTTCTTGAGAATTTATTTTACTTCCATTCACTCTATGCTCTAACGGATATGAGTTAATAATAATTTATAGCGGGTAGCTTGAACTTTGGCTGGTTTTCTGAATGTTACTGAACCATATGAATAGAATGTATTCCCGACGAACTTGCTAATTTTTTTGCACTATGTATTAAAAAAACAAAACAAAAGAACCAACAACCAGCTAGAAAAGAAATAAAATCAAAGAATTTCTGTGCCCAAGAAAGTTTTTAACTTACTTCTACTGATATTAATTACTGTTTTTTTTTTTTTTTTTTTTTTCTGAGACAGCTCTGGCTATCATGGAACTTGCTCTGTAGACCAGGCTGGCCTTGAATTTACAGAGATCCACCTGTATCTGTCTTTTACCTGCTATTACTACCTTTAAATTTAATTTTTAATTAAAAACTTCTGTGCCTTTGTACACTGTGTGCATATGTGTTCACAGTGTCTATAAGTATACACACACATGTTCAGATGTGGGGATCAGAGGAGAACTGGTATCCTCCTCCATTGATTCCCGCCTTATTCCTTTGAGACAGCATCTCTCACCCAATCCAGAGATTGGTATTTTCTGCTAGGTTGGTACCTTTAAGCACCAGTGACCTTCTGATCTCTGCCCTTCTTCCCACCTCCTGTAGTGCTGGAGTTATAGGCCATATCCAGGCTTTTCCTTTTGATGTAGATCTGAACTCAACTCCTCACACTGTGCAGCAGATATTCTTACACACTGAGCCATCTACCCAGCCTGATATTACTATTTCCAGTTAGATTTCAAAATGACCCTGGCCTTAGGTTTTAGAGGCTTATATATGCAGCTCCCCTTTCTGTCTCCTAGTTCTTGATTCCCACACCAGTTTCTTTGATGTTGGGTTTATTTACCTGAGTTGAGTTCATAAGCAAGTATAAACTGAAATAGTACTTGTCTACTTTAATCCAATTTGTATTACGTGTCGTGTGAGTGTTGTCGGAATGCTCCAGGTTGTAGATTTTTCATATGTGAGTGCGCTTTTGCCTGGCTAGTTTGTGCTTGCGTGTTGATCATTTGCTTTTTTTTTTTTATCTCCAGGTGCCAGTACAGTGGTCAGATATGGTTACTTTGAAAGCCAGAATGACAAATTACGGCTTACCCAGGTATAGATGGCTTACACATGCTTGGAATTATTTTCAGAGAGAGGTGAGTGCTGAAGTTCCGGGGGGTAGAAAGTATAGAATATGTGGCAAGTTGTCGAAACAGGTGTTCAAAGCTTTGGTTTTGATCATTTTTCTGCACGGAAACCTGAAGCCTGTGTTGTTGTCACTGCTGCAGGTTTTTCCCAGCATGCCTCGAGTCACTCCATGCTTGTCTTTTCCTCTCACATACAGCCTTCCTCCTCATTTTTTCTGGTCCACATGCGTTTGTTTAAAAGTGCGGCTAGACTACTCTCAAGTTTCTTTTTTCATGAGCTACTTAATAAACATCCAAAGCTTTACTTAGATCTCTCTCTTTTATGATAATTTTTACGACTTTTAGAGTTACCCATGTTTTAAACATTATTTCAGTGTTTTAAAAGATTGTTTCCATTGGTAATTTAGCTAATATGAACATCATCATGGAGAGTTTTTTTTTTTTCTAGTCAGGATGTCTTTGATTCAAATGCTAGCTCTACTACCTAGTATCAGTTAACTTAACTCCTTAGGCCTCAGTTTCCATCCCTATGAAATAGAAACAATACAGGTACTCACTTCATGGAGTGTCAAGAAGAGTGAATGGGATCATCAACTTGATCTCATTTGTAGTATGCTTATTAATAGTGATATTTCAAGATGCACTTTTGTTCTAAACTGTTTTACATTTCATCCCAGTATCTCAAATGGAAATCCAGTTACTTGAGATTAAACATCGATTTTGCCTCAGAGCAGTTCTCCTAAGTTTTTTCCTTGTGGATGTAATGGCATCCGTAGAAGACCACATATCTCAGCTTGCTTTCCTTTCTCTCATTCTGGACCATGACACATTTGAGAAGGACTGTCTTACGAGATATCCAGATACTCATTCTGCTTTGCCTATGCCCATGGCAGAGGTTCAAGTCTAGGGAATTCTCCAAACCTGGCTTTGTGTCACACTTGCTGAGATGGTGAAATTATCAGTGTCACACAGATTTCCTGTTATTCCGTTGCTTCCTGACTTTGTTTGTTTGTTGCACAACTAGACTGAAAGCAACCCAACGGGAAGACATTTGAAGCGCCGGCCATTTATAGTAAGCTGTATTCAGGAACTGCCCCCCTCCAGAGCTCCCGGAATTTTTATTTTCTGGAACTTATGATGCAAACTGTGATAACCCAGGTTGAGAAATAGCGAACTTGTTTTCCTTCTTTCAGGGCTTCACCTCCATGGATGGTTTACAAGTGCTACAAATGCTACATCCTGGCTTGACTTGAAATGTTCTCTCTTACCTCACAGTACTAGTTTGCATAAAAAAGAGTGGTGAATCTATCCAAATATCCAGAAGACATTCAAAGCCCTTTATTAGTCTGGCAGGACTGTCACACACACGATCACTCAGGATGAGTGTCTGTTCATTGTTCTGGAGGTTGAATGTTCAAGAGTGCCAATATTGATGTCTTTTGAAGCCTCTCCTTGGCGTGTAGAAGTCTTTGTCCCATGTCTTCTCATTATCTTGTCTTTATATGTGCCCATGCTTAATTTCCTCTTTCTGTAGGGATATTATTCACATCTGATTAAGGTCCATGTTAAATTTAGTTACTGTTTTAGTGGTTCTCTTGACATGAACAATTTAATTCTGGGGTACAGGGGTTAGAATTTTAACATAGAAATTTAGAAGGGGAGAGGCAACTCAGTCTGGGATACTTTTCTTCCACAGTAAATGAGACTTTGGAATTCCCCATTTGTTGTTACTCTGCGCATGGACTGTAACTGAATGAATCTTGTATGATTCTTAGTGATGCTTCCTAATGCCTTATTTTAAACCACATTTTTAATAAAAATGTGTTCATTTAATGGTAGCGCTTGTATAAGCGTTGGTTGGAGTCATAGCTTCTGCCATACACTGACCAATCAGAAAGTCCCTTCATCCATCTACGGGCTCAGTTTATTTACATGAAAAATAATGATTATATTGTATTTTCTAGAGCTTAACATACCATCAGCTCAGAACTGTCTTGACAGGTAGTGACAGAGCACAGACTTGAGCTGGTGTAATACTGAGTTCACCTTCAGGAGGCTCAGGAGGTTCGTACAGATCCACTGTCCTCTGTGGATAGGCTCTGGAACAACTCTGTAGGAGAGAACGGATGTCAGCAGCTCTTTAACAATGCTGGCACTGAACGTAGCATGTTCAAGTTATTTGGAAAAGCCATTGCTATGGAAGTCCTCATTTCCTGACAAAACCAGATAAATGGGCTGCTCCATTGTGACTGGAAGTAGGGTGCTCTGAGAACTGCCCTGTGTTGCAGCTTGGAAAAGCTCGTCCCTCTAAGAAATGCTAAAAGGCTTTAAAAATACTGACCTCAAAATGTTATCGTTTAAAATATTTAGAAAGTGGAGTCTTTAAATACGAGCTTTATTTTAGGGATTCCCAATGCTTTGTGTCAGCCTGTGACATCAGATTAGTCGATCTCTGACATTTATGTTACCCTCGTGGTGCTAGGATGTTGCTGAGTTGTGATGTTTGTGGTACACACATGGAGTTTTAAACAATGCAGAAGATGTCTTAGAAGTTTCTCAAAACTCTTCGTATTAACAGCTTATCACTCAAGGTGCTTTCATGATGCTGCTTTCTTTTTAAATCATAAGCTCTTTAAATCATAAGCGTTTTAGGCAAGTGAGTGGAAATGTACCAAGTACATAGAGCATTTTCCTCGCTTGCTGTTGCATGAAGAATTCAGAATTCTTCCAAGATGGCTTTGGTTAAGCTTTGAAATGGCGCTGGATTGTGATATTTTATGATTCAGTGTTAATCCTGAGCACAGATTGGTCTCCTGGGCTATGTAATTTGCGTAGCCTTCCCTCTTGGCTGGGTTCTTCCTCGTGACTGCCCATACTTCTTCCTTCCGAGTATGTAGAGGAGGATTTCTCTTTTATCCAAGGGCAAAGCTGTCCTGATCACAGTTACTTTTTCTAAATCCAGTCTGTACATGCCTTCAAGCCCTGTTTGTAAGCCTTCATCCACATTTCTGATAATCTTTGCTGAAGCTCAACCGAAAGTGGTCTTCTTAACATGGCTTAGAGCAAGGCAAGCTCGCTTTTCTTAAGGCCAGCTATATTCAAGCTAGGCACACCATTATTTTTCTGAGATTATAATGATACTTTATGATAGCTTTCCAGGAACCTCACCATATTGGGTAATAATAAGCCAGACAAATATCTACTTACAGGATTTTTGCCTTGATTAAGGTAACTAAGAGTGGCTGGCTACCTTTGAGATGTGAGTTACAGTCAACAAGGTTTTGTTTTTTTTTTTTCCGTAGAGTTTGTAGACACTTTCATCACAATAGGGGAATTTTTAGTTATAGTAGTGAATGGATAATAAGCAAAATGATTAGCTCCTTCCTACTGACTAGAAGTTAGTAATAAAGAAAGACCAGCTACTGAATTTGTCTGCTTATGAAGTCTTTCATCATTTTGATCATCTGAAGAACATCCTGAAGTTGGAGAGTGAGACACAGATTTGCTTTTAGGAGGGGTGGGTGTCACAGTTCAGAACCATTATGGGATGATGACTTTGATGTTCCTGTATTGATGTTTTCATCATCATGATAGAATGCACACACATCTGAGGCTGATAAGAGACGTTTAACTCAGTACAGCCATGTAGGACATCAACTCTCTCATCTCTGTTAGGCTAAACCAAAGCTACCGTGTGCGGTTTCTGAGTGTGACTGGTAACTCTATTTCAGTTTAAGTGCTGTGGCGTGGTGTACTTCACTGATTGGCTGGAGATGACAGAAATGGACTGGCCTCCAGACTCCTGCTGTGTTAGGGAGTTCCCAGGATGCTCCAAGCAGGCTCACCAGGAAGATCTCAGTGACCTTTACCAAGAGGTAAGGCCATGCGTGGGCATCCTATCCTTACTTCCCCAAAGAACCTTCAACACTATGCTGATTACATTTTAACTTTTTGGGTAAATTATTAGGCCTTATTTTTTAACTCTGATATATGATTTAAAAAGTGAAAAAAAATCACAATAACCACATTTCAGCAAACAGGAGTGGGAAAGACCTAGTTCTATCATTAACTGAATTTTATCTTATTATTTAAAAAAAAGACATTCTCGTTAATTAGATTTTACACTCTTAACACCTACAGCCAAATCCTATTGTGCTCTTCTAGGGCTCTTTTGAAAATAAGCATGTGCAGATCATGAAGCTAACTGGATGTGTGGGAAGCCTGGGCTTTGGTGTTCCTGGCCAGACTGGTTTAGGGCTTTGATGTAGGAGAGAGAAAATTCTCCTGAGAAAATTTCGTGTGCTGCTCTCTAGTTCCCCCTGCTGATAGTAACCAGTAACTTCAGGTTTAGTTTGCCGAAACAATTTTACTGGGTTTAAAATCAATCATTTGGTGCCCCAAAATTTACTTACTGTGCATTCTTCCAGGACTCAGTTGTTCTTTCATAGGAGTTTCTATGTACCTTTGACCTTAGGGGTTTCACAGTGAGTGATGGAATACATTCTCAAATTAAAATGTAAAGTTTAATTGTAAGCTGGGCTGCAGAGATAGCTCAGTAAAATGGTCAAAAACACTTACTTACTGCTCTAATGGAGAACTGGAGTTCAGTTCCTAGAACCCACTTGATGTCTCAAAGCCATCTATAGCTCAAGTTCCAAGAGATATGACACCCCTTCTGACCTCCACAGTCTCCTGCACGCACATGTATACACCTAAAATGGGGCACACACACATACACAGAAGCTTATGTAAATTAAAGTTTTACTGTAAGTTCCAGTAGCCACTGGCTATGTGTGATGATTTTCATGAAATCAGATTGAGTACTTAAATTAAAATTTCATTCCTTCAGCCTCACGAACTACATTTCTACCTGTGGGCATGCAGTCTGGAGCACTGCTGAACACTTTGAGCTTAACCTAAATACTTAAAGTGTTTATAATAGAATAAGAATATGTATTTATATAATATGTGTATCTATAATATGTCTGTAGTAACGACACGTGTATGTTTGTGTGTGTGTGTCTATGTGTGTGTGGTGAATTGTGTATATATACCTCCAGGTGCACATGCACTCAGTGTTTGCACGTAGAGGCAGAGTTGGATTTCGGTTGCCTTCCTCCATTGCTTTGCTTTGGTTTTAGAAATAGACTCTCTCACTGAACATGGAGCTTGCTGTCTTGCCGAGGCTGGCTGGCAAGCAAGTCCCTGACATCTATCTGTCTCTCCTACCTCAGCGCAGGGGCTGAAGATATGTGCCCAGCATTTCTGTGGGTACTGGGGATTGGAACTCAGGTTCTAATGTTTGCCTAAAAAATAAAAACTTTACCCGCTGAGCCATCTCTTCCATTGTATCTCAGGAGTTTTAAGATATATGTCTTTTATGTACCTTAGGAGAATACACCTCCCCTCACAACTTGTCTACAGTTTTTTTTTTAAAGGATGCACTACAAAGTCAGTAGTAGAGATACATATTTTATCCTGCACACTATCTGATATGAATTTATCTGCACACAATCCTGCACGCTGAGTGGCTTCAACAAAAGAAACAGGTTTGCAGTTTTACTGAGTAGAAATTCAAGATCCCTGTGCTTGCAAGGTCAGGTCAGCTCCTTCCAAGGCTGGGGAGGGAGGGCTCATTGACTGTCTCTTCTCCAGTTTCTTGTAGAAATGTTTTCCTGGCCTGTCTTTCCTCTTCATGTGGTATTTTTCCATGTGTGTTACTGTCTCCAAAAGTCCCCAGACAGGTCACCTTGGAGCCCGCTGCTCTGCAGTTTGGGTTCATCATCGCTTCATTACGTCTTCAACAACCCAGTTGTCATAAAATCGGAGCCGTGAGGAAAATAGATTAAACGTAAATTTTGTGAGGACACACACAGTCTAACCCATAACCAGAGATGTCGAAACAACTGAATCACCCAGCTTGTTTATTTTAAAAGATAATAAAAATATGTATTGCAATTCCTCACATTACTGTTTGGCTTTTATTCCTTTGAGCATGTTATGATTAGATGCATTTGGCTTCAGTGACACAAAGGATGCATCAGATACAGTTAACTCAGCAAGACGTCACTGAGTCAGTGTTTCGAGGTCTCTCAGTGATTGTGCTCAGGCGAAAGTCGACTTCTCTGCTGTCTAACGGATATTGTAGAACATGAAGAAATGCAACCAAGCCATGATGATGTTTATGCTACAGAACACAGGACTTGATACTTCTGAGAGTGTTAAATGGAAACTACAGTGAAGATTTTATAACATTATAACTTACTGTTATTTATTAAAAGAACAGATGATTACAGTGTGTATATATACTGTAATATAAGTGTGTATATATATGTATATACTGTCATTATATATACTGTCATTATATATACTGTCATAATATATACTGTATATATGAGTTGAATCCTATCAGTGTTCCTAGTGTAAATTTTGCTCATTGGTTAGTTCTGAGAAAGAGCAAGTCAACACTGAAAGGCGCCGCTTCCAGCACAGTGGGTTAGTTTCTGCCTTTGTGCTGATGATGTATTAGAGGAGTGTCTGAGATCATAGTACCCCTGACTCAGATTCAGATTCCAAATCTGAATGTGGATTATCTCTCTTTATTTTTACTTGATTTAGCTTAAAATTATTCATTTTTATATTTGATATCATTTTCTTTTTGTAAAACTCAATTCACTTTCCCCCAGAGTGGCTTAGACTATTTTTACTAACATGCCATGATGGGGTTCTTTCCTCTGATGGTTTGTGTTTAGGCTGTCTAATGGAAAAAGATTGGAGGAAGCCATATCATTGTACATGTGCTAATTGATAACTCAGATTAATTTAAACACTTTCAGTAGTCAGCTGATACAGACAATTGTGGATTGATTTGAGACACAGACCTCTGGTTAGGTTGGTTGTATCAGAACAATCTGCTCTTGCGTTTTACAACGAACAACCGATGCTGGTATTAGTAACGATAACAGCACAGTTATATGCATAATTGACTTTCAAAAGTGGATCATTTAGTAGCTTTATAGCTCAAGTACGATTAGGTCCATAATTAAAAAAATAAGCATTCTGAGATTGTTCGCTTGCAGAATGAATGTTTAAATGGCAAAATGAGTGAGAAGAGCTGGGGGCTTTGAGAGGTTTCTTCTGAAGTTGAGAAAGTGAAGGGAAAACATTTTAGATGTCCTCAAACATCTAGAAGTTCCTAATTCAGAACAGGAATGAAGCACACCCAGGATTGTGCCAAGGGTCAGAAGTTACAGGAAGGAAATTTTGAATCAACGGAAGGAAGACCTTGTTCATCAAATTCTGTCTAATCATCTAGTCTTGTAAGCTTGTGTCTCATTGCTGAAAATATTAAAGTCAAGGTCGGATAGCCACGTCAACAGGTGCTGTAGAACAGGCTTTTAAATTAAGAGTGGATCTGTACTAGATGGACTTCAAGGTCCCTTTATTTTCCATATTCTATAAGCTCAGAGATAAGTACCCGCTTTCTTCCTACACGCTTTCTTCAGAAGTCTGAAATCAGGGAAATAAATCATTCTCAACCATCTGGTGGCCTGCCTAGATCCCTGACCCAATAATATTTTATGACACGTTTTGAAACCTTTGAAAAATGATAGAGCAGAAATATAGCAGCAACTGCACATTTTAGAAATATCCTCACCAGAGGTGCAGTTAGGGTTGGCATAGAAACCCTCAAATGTCCACAGTAATCGACATGTAGCCTTGAATAAAGAAATAGGCTTAATATAATTAGATGTGTGACTATCTCGGCCTCTCATTTTGAATTTATATATTTTGTAATTGTCCTGAGTTCCACATACAGTGTAGAATGTTGTGGACAAAATCCTTTCTGATAGCTTAAAGGGCATTAATATAGACATTTAGCAACAACAAGGAAAAGACAATTACAGAAACATTAAAACAGGTGGTAGTAAACACTTGGAAGTGTTTACTCAGTAACGGGGTGAGGTTTTCTTGCTGAGGGCGCTTCTTTAGACAGGATGAGGCTGTCTTCAAAGGTAGAATTTTAACTGAATTGGTGATAAGGACTCAGCTGTGCAAAGTCTGCAAGAGTATTTTTGGCTTAGGGAACTGCAAGTACCAAAGTTCAGGTGTTCTAGGCCAATGCTTCTGGGCTTCCTGGTACCCCATTCTTGGGAAGTGTCTGAATAGCTGTATTTTCAGATGCAGGGTGTCAGACTCGGCCTCAGCCAAGCTTCACACTTAGAATTGAGGTTGGAGAAATTCAGTGTGCTGCACCTCTTCTTTGTCTCATTGCAAGGGTGCACTGTTAAGGCTTGGCCTGGAGAAGACAGACAGACAGACAGACAGAGACAGAGACAGAGACAGAGACAGAGACAGAGGGAGGAAGAAGGAGGGAAGGAGGAAAGGAGAGAAAGAGAGGAAAAGGGAGAGGGTAAGGTAGAGGGAGAGAGAGAGAGGAAATACATATGAAGAATGTTAGAAAGTTTCACTTAGCAGGGATCCCGGACCTGCTGCCCATAGATCTGGGGTCTTGGAAGAACTACAAGTTATACCATCAAACCTACTTTCAGTATTTTGTATGCATTTTGCTGGTGAGCAGCAGCCTCAACTTTAATCAATTCCTCAAGGGACTTTGTTTGGGAGAATAGCTGTAGTCTTTATCTCAGATGGGAAACAAACTATAAACAGACTCTTCAAGGCCAGACAAAGGCTCTTGTGTACCATCTCAAGAAAAATAGATGAAGGTAAACAGGCTCGAAGCAGCCCTACTTCATACAGACCCACTCAGCTTGTGGGAAAGAGATACAGAAAACCAGGCAAAACACATGTGTAGACACATGTGACATTTCTCTGTTTTCTAGTTAAAAGAGAGAAGAGTGCTAAAATGTATTGA